ACATGTATTTTAAAAGAAATCAAAGACAGGGCGCCTGGGCGGCTCAGTCAGTTAAGCGTCCAACTTTGGCTCAGGTCATGATCTCGCGGTTCGTGAGTTCAAGCCCCGTGTCGGGCTCTGTGCTGACAGCTCGGAGCCTGGAGGCTGATTCAGATTCTGTCTCCCTCACTTTCTGCCCCTCCCCGACTCACACTCTGTCCCTCGAAAATAAACATTAATAAACAAAATAATAATAAATAAAAGACCAGAAGGTGAAATATACCAAAATGTTACTATCCTTGGGCAGTAAAATGATAGGTTATATTAATTTTCTTCTTGATAAACTTCTGATGTTTCTAATTTTTAAAAAATTACGTCTTTATTAAATATTTCAATTCTCGCTCAAGTAATATATGTTCATCAAAGAACCAGGTGGTATGGAGAGACTTCTAATGAAAAATTGCCTCCCTGGCCTCATGCTCCTCAAAGACATTTACTTTCACGAATTTTAGTCATTGTAATATTTGTTGCTCAGAGGGGCACCCGGGTGGCTCAGTGGGTTGAGCATCCGACTTCGGCTCAGGTCACGATCTCATGGTTTGTAAGTTCGAGCCCCGCGTCAGGCTCTGTGCTGACAGCTCGGAGCCTGGAGCCTGCTTCGGATTCTGTGTCTCCTTCTCTGTCTCTTCCCCTCCCCTGCTTGTCTCTGTCTGTCTCTCTCTCTCTCTCTCTCTCTCTGTGTCTCAAAAATAAATAAACATAAATTTTTTTTTTTAATATTTGTTGCTCAGAATTCAAAATACTATACTCATACTAGTCTTTCTTAAGTAACAATGTTCCCCATTTTACTTACCATTAAGTAGGAATATGGTCACATGGTTCTAAATTCAAGACCTACGGGGAAGTATATGGTGGCAGTTCTGTGTGCCTTTCATCCCTAACCTCCAGCCGTACAACCCCCCTTGCCCCCTTGCCCCCATAGGAACCATTGTTATCAATCTCTGCTGAACTGAACAGAGACATTCTAGAAATATTCACGCAGATACAATTAAAGGTGTACCAAAACACATGTTGACTGGGTTCCAAAACTGGTTATCACCCACATAGAACAAACTTCTGGGAATAAGAGAATAAAAGGTACAAATCCATTTTGATCAGTAAAATCAAAATGCTAGTAGTCACATACTAAGTATAGGGTAGATGGTAGGAGTGTCATTTCCCATTTCAGTTCTCTGTGTTGAAATAGATACATTGAGGAGGCACGAACTTCTGGAAAGGTCTTTTTCTTAACACGCCTTTTACAAACAGGCTTTTGTACCTGTTAATCCTATTTTGGGCAGATCCCCCAAATCCTTTGTTTTCAATTACTGTGAGTCCATTTCAACAATTTTCTGCTGTGTTTTAAAGTTCTTAGCCCCCCTGGGCTCAGAGCGGCGAGAAATGGTTTTTGTCAAGCATTCTCTTGTTCCCATTGATGCGTGAGCACTGAATGACTAAAGACAGCTTATCACGGTCATGAAAATTTGAGGCTTCAGAGGTGATACTCTGCTTGTACTTCATACTTAGGACTCTTCCCGAA